GGAGGCCCTGTTAGCAGGCAAAGGGGGACTCGCCGGGAGCCCCCCACTCCGGGCCCTGGCGTCGTCCACCCGACTCCACCTGCGCAAGTCCTCCCCGGGCAAGCCGCCCTCCTCGAAGTGGGATAGCGCCCGAGAGGCGCTGTCCGGCCGCCTCCGACCGGCGACCTCCACACTTCACCCGCCCCACCCCCTCCCGGTCTCCCGTTCGTCCTTCTCCCGATTCGGCTCTCGACACCGCCGGCCCAACCTACCCCCTTTTAATTCAGATACCCTGACGGGCGAGAGCAATGCTGCCTCCGGTGCTCGCGGGCTCTGGTCGTGCGGAGGGAGAAGCCGTTCGCCTCGCGAAAAGCTCCGCACAACGGTTTTCCCAACCGTTTCCGACGACGGCAACCGCTAAGGAAGCTGCGCAGCAGAGCGACTGGGCTGGGGGGATGGGAGAGAGCGAGCAAGGAGGAGGGGGCGGAGCGAAGGCTACGACCCGGCCGCCCTGATCTCGCGAGACGAGAGACGCGGTTCCGCCCCGCCGCGGCCCGCGCGATGTACTGTTGCGCACAGAGGGGCGGGCCGGTTGGGGTGAGTGGCGCACTGTCGGGTTGAAGAAAGATACCTGGTGGGGTCTGCCTTTCTTGCTTACCTTACAGCCATCGTGTTTCCAGAGCCCACTTTTCTGCCTTCTCGGGGAGGATGAGGTGGCAACAGTAGCCTTGCCAGTGCGTTATAAAGGAACGCGGGGAGCACATCCCGTGAAGACCCCGCCTCACCCTGCGTGGGCGGGGAGCCACGTGGTGCGGCCGCTGATCAGCGCGCGCGGCGGGGCGGGCGTGTGTGTGTGTGTGTGTGTGTGTGTGCGCGCGCGCGCGTTCTCTCGTCCACTATATTTGCATTCTGTAGTAAAAAAACATAACTTTTCTAGTCTGCCAAGAGAGGTGGTCGGGTTTCCTCCTCCTTCCCCATATCCCCGAGCTGCCCTCTCACCCTTGGCCCGGGACTGATGGACGATCCAGTGACTGCGTTTGTTTCCCTTTTCTCTCAAAGCCTCAGTGACCGATCAACGGCTCAGGGCGGGGGACTTAGGTTTGTATTCTAAATAGAGCTTTGTAGTATTGCAAGTCGGGTTCCTAAGTGACACCTAAAATACATGTGTTCCCTGAGGTTTTGCTGTCATGCCAACATGGTTTCTACGACCCCCCCTCCGTGCTTCTTTTTAAATTTCGAAGCAAATGTAAGCCCAAGCTTGTGGACAGAGCGGTTGCACTCCTGATAAAAAAAAAGCAAGTAAAAGTGCAAGGCTAGGAACATATATGCAGTAAAGGGAGAGGAGGTGAATTTTGAGTGTTCCTGTTGGATGGGTGTAGGTTGGAAATGAATATGAATCTGCGACGTAATCAGTCCTTAAAGTCCAGTCAAAAGTTTTGGATTTTGTGCTACAGACATCGGGAAGACTGTTAAGAGCGGGTTGAGGGAAAAAAACTTCCCCCACGAGATCTGTAGGGTATAGGATGGAGACAAGGAAACCAGTTAGCTTCATTAATGGAAACTTCCATTTCGTGACTTGTGGGTCAGTAAGAACTGCCTAGGTCGTGGTACTCTATTCCTTAGCCCACCTCTTCGAAGCAACTTGGGAAGGGACAGCATGAATATAATTACAAAGAGAAAAACCAAAGGATGCTAATAACTATAGCTCACATATGTTGAGAGCTTGCTTGAACTAGGTTGAGTGTGCAACTCATTCTCTTTACAGTCCCGAAAAATAATACTCTTCATTTTAGGGATGATGTGTCTAGTCCCAGACACATGAAAGTAATTGCCCAAGGTCACACAGCTAGGACTGAAATCTAAAAGGTTTTACTCTAAGAATCTGGGTCTTAAAACACTGTGAAACTTCTTGTGGTTATAAATTACCTGTGCCTTAAGGAAACACATCGTTTTAGGTAAACTGAAGTCACTTCCCCTAGCCAGCACTGGCTCTACCATCTATTGGCTAGAGACTCCTGAACAGGTCTGAAACTCGGCTGTCCCGTATCATCGGCACTGTGAATTCCTCCCTCCCCACTAAATTGTGGATGGATCTCAGAGGGCTTGGAGCTTGTTCTGCCATTTAAAAATAATGTCTCGGATGCTCCAGATGAAGTTCTTACCTTACTCTTCCTTCCACGGATTCGATTACATCGCTACTTTATCTTTTTAATCTTTCAACCTGATTTGGTAGGTGGACTTCTGTAATCCTTTTCACCTCATGCCTGCATCCAAACAATCTGCTTACTGCCTGATTGAATTTGCATTCTTTCCACATACTTGGTGTGGTTGTGAGCCACAATCCCAAATCATTCTAATGACGTGAATGACTTTTCACCACCAAACAACGTTCCTTTTGTTTTTTTCTTGCGGGGGGGGGTGGCTAATAGTGTTGGGCCCTCTTTGCCAGTAAGATCAGGAAGCCCTTGGGAATTAGAGCTTTGCCTTTTTAGTATTATAGCAAGTAAGAAATTTTGAGATACAAATATATAGTGGTAAGTATTTTTATTTGGCTTCCTGTTTTACTATTTTCCCCCAAACTTGTTTGTCAGCCATTCCCGTTTGCAAGCTGAATCCTGTGTGTAAGGCTCAGTGGGACTGGCTGGCTGCTGCTCTGATGATCACAATTGTTTCCAGATCCATCTCTGAGGAATTGTTTCCATAGAGATGGATAGAATTAAGAGTTCCCAGCTGCTTTGGGAATTTTTTCCCCTCTTTGTCTTCCTTTTGGTGTTTCAGTGCTTTCTTATTAGCATAGAGATCAGAGAGACCCTGGAGAGGATCTGTTAGAGACCTATAATGAGAGAAAAGCTGAAAAAGAGAAGGAAATAGAAGTAGTCACACCTCCCCAAGGAAAACAAGGAACACGTGATCGTATGTTACACCATTGAGACGGAGAGGAAAATTCCAGGCAGAGCCTGAGTGAAACAAAGAAATTGAAAGACAGTGTACTCTTTTGGGGGGAGGAAGGCACATTAACCAAAGACCAGTTTACAGTAACTGTTCATATATCCCTACATGGAATTGTCAGTTACCTTAAAAACTGGATTGCTATCAGTTTGCCTATAAAACTGGATTATTATAATATGCCTGTATGAAAAGCAAATAAAAAACAACAAAACCCACAAAAGCTTATTAGGACTGTATCTGACTAAAGTAACACCTTTTGAATACTGACTTCCTTAGGCTTTGTGAACTGCTTATTCTTTGATTTATATAATAGACATCTACTGTCTTTTAGAAAGTACTGATTTCCTTTGGTGTGATTCAACACTGCTTCTCAAAACCATGGCCTAGCCAGGCATAGTGATGCATGCCTGTACTCCCAGCACCTGGGAGGCTGAGGTGGGAGGATCACCACAAGTTTGAGGCCAGCCTGGGCTACATAGTGGGTCTAAGGCTGTCTTGAATTACAGAGTGAGACCTTATCACAAAAAAACAACAAAACGGGGCCAGGGATGTACTTCTGTGGTGCCACCGCCTACCTCCCAAGGGCAGGGTCCTGAGTTTGATCCTTGGCACTAAAAAAAAAGACCAGGACCAATTACACAGTTTGTATTCTTGATACTTTCTTGTTTTCTCTGAATCACCTATGTGTGCCTTATAGGGCTATGGAAACCAAAAGGCCTCATTTATTTATTTTATTTTATTTTTTGGTTTTTTGAGACATGGTCTCGCTATGTAGTTGAGACTGACCTGGAACTCACTGTGTACCCCAGGCTGTTCTCCAACTCACAGTGATCCTCCTGCCTCAGCCACCCAATGTGCTGGGATTACAGGTGTGCACCACCATGCCCGGCAAGGGTTTTTTTTTGCTTTGTTTTAGGGGCTTTTTTGGGGTCTTTTTTTTTTTCACTTTTCTTTTTTGGTACTGGGAATCAAACCCGGGGCCTTGCACTTGCCAGGCAGATGCTGAGTCGCTGAACTACATCCCTGACCCTCATTTAATTTTAATAATTATGTAGTAAGTAAACAAACTCAGAAGAAAGAGGACACCTAACATTCTGTAATTTTTAAAAATAAAGGTATTGATATGGGCCAGGGATTTAGCTCAGCGGTTCGGTGGCCTGCCTTGCAAGCGCAAGGACCCGAGCTTAATCCCTGGTACCAAAAAAATAAAAATAAAAATAAAAAATAAAGGTATTGATCTGGGCGTGGTGGCGCATGCCTGTAATCCCAGCACTTGCGAGGCTGAGGCAGGAGGATCGTTGTGAGTTCGAGACCAGCCTGGGGTACATAGTGAGTTCCAGGTCAGTCTCAACTACATAGTGAAACCCTGTCTCAAAAAAACCAAAATAAATAAATAAAAAAAATAAAGCTATTGGACATTCTTTTCTGTTCCATTTGATTATTGTGAAGGCCGAGATCAACAACTACAAAAGATAGTTACTTAAGTAATTTAGACATGTAATCCAGCATTTGGGAGACTAAGGCAGGAAGACTGCAAATTTCAGGCCAGCTTGGGCTATGTAGTGAGTCCCTGTCTCAAAAAAACAAAACCCAAGGGACCAGGGATTTGGCTCAGTGGTTCTGCCACCTGCCTCACAAGGGCCTGAGTTTGATCCTGGTACAAAAACAAAAACAACAAAAAACCAAAAATAGTAACAGCAAAAAATAATTTAAAGCTAGGTGTGTTGTGGATACCTATAACTCCAGGTGCTCCAGAGGCTGAGTCAGGAGGATCACAAGTCAGTGTTTGCCTCTGTTGGTGTGTTGCTGTCTGTTGGTGATTGCAGCTTGCTACAAATGTTTGTCTCAATTTTCCTGACTGACATCTGTTTTCTTGAAGATCACCTCAGGTTTGGTAATGCAATGCCCAAGGATGTGTTCTTTGCGGGAGTGGGTGCTCTTAGAAAAACAGGCATGGTGGCATGCACCTGTGATGTAGGCACTTAGGGAGGCTGAGGCAGGAGAATTGCTTGAGGCCAGTTTGCTGGGCTACAAAGTTAATCCAAGACCAGTCTAAACTACATAATGAGACCTTGTCTCTCTCCCCGCAAAAAGGAAAGAAAGAAAAAGAATAAAAGGAAAAACATAGAGGACTCTGGAATTGTAGCTTTAGGAACACCAAATTCAGCTCCAGAGTCTGAAGAGAACCTTGGGGAGAGTCACCTCTTTGGAGTGAAGATGGCAGTGGGCTGGCTCTCTTTTCCTTACTCTTTGTGTGATGTAGCTTCTTTCCAGTTTTTATTTCCAACATATTTATGTTTTTAAAGTTAAAGTCTGCCTCTTGTAGAAAGGATTTGGTAAGATCTTTTTTTGGCAGTACTGGAGGTTGAACCCAGGGCCTCATACATGCCAGGCAAGTGCTCTATCACTGAGCCTGGTTGGATCATTTTAAAAAACCTATTTTGGGGCCTGGGATTTAGCTGAGTGGTGCTGCTGCCTGTCTTGCAAGTGCAAGGTCCTGAATTCAATCCCCAGTACCAAAAAAAAAAAAAAAAAAAAAAA